CTCTGGTCTCCCAAGGCCCTTGATTTATAGGGTCCCGGCGGACGGAAGCTTTCTCCCCGTCAGCTGGTCTCCACTGAATCAGCAGCAGGAGTCCTGGATGATCCCCCGGTCTCGTGGCCCCTCCCCCGCTCCTTCCCGACCCTGCGCAGCAATCACAGACTCTAGGGGAGGGAGCGATGTTCTCTCCTACCGTTCCGGCGCCTCCGAAGGTGTAAAGCTCAGTTTATGATCTCCGCCTTCTTGATATTGTAGGTCTCTAACGAGCTGGCATTATGTTTATTCTCTGAAATTCAGTTGTTCCAATCTTTTGTTGTATTTTGGAGGGGAGAGAATCCCGGCTCAGCTCACCCTGCCATTTTTCTCTGCCTCCGTGCTTGGCTTACTATTTTTTGAATTATAGGTTGTTAAATAAGATCTGCTAGGATTAGGTTCTGAAAGTGAGTTATTTTTCACATATCAAAATCCAAGTTGAAACACTGTCTTACTTGTTAAGATTAATTAAGAAGTGGTACTTGCACATTGGCTCATTAACAGAAGAAAAATTGGCCCTCTTGAATCACTCATAGAATTTTAGTAGAAAAGTTAATGATGAATGTAAGCAAACCTCATAAAAATATGACCCTTTTACTGTTTAGGAAAAAAAAGAAAACATGATTTTTTTTCCCCTCCAAGGTAAAGATAATTACCCAGTGTGCAAGTCCCCTGCAGCTCTTTTCTGTTCTTTATATGACCTCTCTTTCCTAGTGTTAGAAATCACAAACTTAACTGTTTCTGATTTGTATAGTTGAGCAGTATTGGATGTTAAAATAATAGTGGAATTGGGCACAGTTGCTCTGTCATAAGTAGACTGGAGCTTGGACAAGTTTCTTAGCCCTATGAGCCTCAGTTTCATCTGAGAAAATGTTGGAGGTAAACTAGTAGGTCTCTACATGTAAAATTCTATTTGCAAAATTTTTATTTCCAAATGAGCTATGTTGGAAATCTAAGAATACTCTTTTGGGCACTCCTTGTGTGAAGTTGCATGGCAACAATTTCAAAACCTTCTTGGAACAAAAGTATATTGACTTGCTTTAACCTAAACTTTAAGTGGTTTTGTGAAATGAAGTAACTATAATTGACTGTTCAGTCTCAGCAGAGAGGGCTTTCACTGATCATGTTTCTGTGGTCAGCACCACCTTGCGTCTCTGAAACCCTGCAGTACTTCAAGCTATTGGAGTGACGGTTAACCTTTTTCCAGTTTCCACTGTGGTGGCCATCTCTGAATATTTGAAGATGAAACTCTAATTGTAGTGAACAAGGCAATCTAGTCATCTCATAAAACAGCGGCCATATTCCTGCCCACTTTATGGTCAGTACAAATCCTGGGACTTTCAGCCGGATACAAAATCAAAAGGCTAAGTGTCTTCTACCAACTTTTAGTATAATGTGTTGTCGTTGTTCCTAACTTTGTTAGCGGTGATAAAGCGTGTATCAAATTTTGATTGTGGTTATTAACTAAGTACCGTATATCATGGAGTTTATGGAATTTCTTTATAGATCTGTCACTAGGTTGAATGTAAGTAAAAGTTTTACAGTGTTGAGTTTTCATGTATATTCTGTGTCTTCGTAAATATTTCGGTGAGAATGTTGTGTTCTGCTCTTCTAGTCAGATGTTTTATATGTAGAAAATTGTGTTAGGTTTTCTAGTTAGATGCTGTCTTAATCAGAAAATGAATCCATGAGTCTGAATTTTTCTCACTAGGTAGAAAATATCAGAATAGATTATCTTTATGGTCCTTTAACTCCAAACTACTGTATTTCATTAACATATGCCTAGAGTAATTGAGCTGTCTCTGTTTTTCCCAGTTAGTGATAACACTGTTCATTCTGAGTTTATCCAAACTACTGGATATGTGTGCTACATGCTGGCAACTACTTTAAGATCACTTCGGAGAGGTTAGTAGATTGATACAAACAATTAGATAAACCCTTTGAAATGGTTGATAGTTACATATAGTTAAGTCGTCATTAGAAAAATAGACTTTGAAAGTTCAATTTGTCATCTGAGTTTAGCAGCCACAGCTATCGTGTCTAGTTTGGAATCTGAATCCCTTAATTCACTACTTAGGGGACTGAATATTATGCCCAACAGGAGTCATGTGTTTGTTTCTTCACTGAAAAGCTGTGACAGTTTCTTCTGGCAATCTTAGTACAAAGTGATTTCAAACAGTCTAGAAACTGTTGTTCTCCCCTGCTTGGTGAGTGGTGAAACTTGGGCGTGTTGCTTCCTGCAGTTGCATTGCTTCCAAAGAGCGCTGTAACTGCAAATAAAAGAAGGATTAATGAAAGTGGCGAAATCTGCATCTCATTTGAGGGATTGCTTTTTCAAACCCAATCGTTGTTCCAGAAGCTTATTATTATTTTTTTTTGATTCCATCTTTTTGTCGACAGAGCAGTAGTATGTGGCATGATCAAAGACCATGAGTGCCTTGAGTCCACCGTAAGACTCCATCTACCTATCTGTTTTTGGAAAATTATTTAAGAACTCTGGGACTCATTTTCCCCCTTTGTAAAATTCTGTAATATATGTAATACTTTTGAAAGATGGCAGAGTACTTCTGAGGAAGGTCTTAAATTGGACAGGTTGATTTTGAATTTTGGCTGCAACTCTTAAGAGCTGTGTGATTTCGCTTGGTCTATTTAGTCTAAGACTCAGTTATTTCAGTGGTAAAAATGAGGTTAATAGTACTTTATGGGCTTGTCCTGGGCATTAAACCAGATAATCTATGTACAACATTTAGCACAGTGCCTGGTACAAACGTATACTTATTAACTGTTGGCAATTATTATTACCTCTGTCTAAATACAGCGCAGATGCATGTAGAACGTGGTCAAACTATTATCACTGAGCATGTGGGGGACTCAGCATGTGTCCTCTTAAGCAGTAGTTATAGTTAGTCTCTTCTCTCTGTGCATCTATCAGCTAATATGTTCTGAGGAGATACTGCTGATACGATATCTATTCAGGCATTAAATTATGGTGGAGATGACTCATTTTTGGCCTGTTCTACTTTTCTGCTTCACTGGATTTTGTGTGATTTTTCTCAAATTGAATTGTCCTTATTTCCAACTGCACACCGGGTTGCTGTCTAGTGCTAATATTTCTTAACTGAGAAATAGCCAATTGATCTTTATTCTGATGAAGGAGGAGTCTTAAAATTCTGTAGCAGATCTTTTATCTGGGATATTTAACAAGTTCTATGTGTTTTTCTAATCGTAAAGGATGTATGATACTGATTTCATTATTAACATAGCTCTGAGAACAACTGTAAAGTAATAAATAGGGCACTTCCTTGTTTTTTCTAGAAAATGAATGCAGTTTAAGGGAGAACTTTTCCCTGAGTGATAGGTGATTTCAGTTATTTAAAGCAAATGTTTTTCCATGGAATATACACAGCAGTAAGCTGTGATATAAGTGAACAACACACAATTTCGCTTATATATTTCATAGACTAGTAGATTTTCTTAAAGGAAAATGTGGTATAATATGATTTGAAAGGAATATTTATCAGAACATTTCCTTTTATTGTCATATTAATGTGGTAATTTAAGTAATTTTTTGTGCTAAGGAAAGATTAAATTTACAGTGTGCATGTATGTATATATACAATACATTACAAAACATGATTTTGACTTTTAAAATGTGCCATTATCCATTTTTTCAATCCTCACTATTAATCACAGAATAGTGTATGTACCGTCATTGTAATACACCATAGCACAGAGATTGACAGAGAGTATTTTGAATTACTGTTGGATTAGAGATACAAATAATCAAATTTCTTGATCTGTATATACACACAGACACACACATATATACACTCACATATTTATATATGTAAAACTTTCTTTAACTCAAACTTTTTTTGGGAAAAGTCCCTATCCGCTAATCTAATGAGAGAGGCCATCCTAGAAAGAGAGTTCGCTTGAACTCAGGAGTGCCAGTCCCACAATTTTATAATTAAAGAGTCACCTCCCCGTCCTCTGCCCTCCAACTCATCGTTTTTTCTTTCCTTTGGGAAGATATATAGATTTATGAGATACAGGTAGGAAGAGGAGCACTTTATCATTATTTTAGGATTCCCCCCAAACCCTGATTCAGTCACGTAGTGAGCGGGACCATGTGGAAGTTTCTTTATACCTAAAGGAGATAGACGGCATCCTAGAAGCAAAGTAATCTTCTATGGCTGTGTTTACCCTAAATCGAAACAAGCTCTGTTCTCTCTAATTTATGCTCACATGGTGAGAAACGCCTAGGCTCACCAGTAGAACGATGACCAGGTAGAAGAAGTGGGGCCACTGGGTCAGCTCTAAGATGTGGAGCAGAATCGGCTTAGGGACTTCCCTACAGACCTTTTTAGGGTGGTGCAGCTCCCAAGTAGCAGTTTCTTCTTTTCTTGCAGCCACAAGGGAATAGATAGTCAGAAGCTTTGAAAAGAGCTGAGGGCAGAGCATCCAGATGGGTCCAGACCTTTAACTTCTGCACCCATAATTGTGAATATCACAACCTGTTGTACTGAGATCCATCAAAGTATGTTTGCCCTTCACACTGCCTCCCTGGAGGGAGGACTAAGGAAGGGAAGGGGCAAAGAGAGGGTCCTGAGATCCTTTCTGAGCTCAGAAAGCCTCTGACATCCTTTTATGTCTTCTTTGTTTTGTGACTCCAGAGACTTCTCATCCACATAGTCTTTTGAAAGCCTGATGGTATATTTGCTACATACATTTATCATCATGGCTTTGATGTAGAAAAGTGAGCTTTTAGAGGCTTTATTATTAAAGATAAATCATTTTATGAAAAGAGGGAAAAATAGAGTAGTTGTTTATGCTCTTTTGAATACTATAGATTCATTCACTTATTCCCTTCTTGGTGTTATAAAAATGAGAAGATCTTTTATTGGTCATGTCCATCTCCTGGGGTTTCTCTTGTGCCCTATGTTCTAGAATAAAATTTCTCTTCTGTTTTAGATACATAGAGAGATATCTCCCTGGTCTTGGAATATATTGTTATTTCCTAAGGCAATAAATCAAGGAGGCTGACTAAAAGCTCTAAAATAACTAAATAACCAAGTTGTTGAGCCACTAGCAAGCATATGCAATTCATCACTTGAATGATCCATGCCACACGGGGGAGAGATTGTGAATGAAGTGCCATCGCTCTCTTTTTATTTATTTATTTTTAGTTTCATCAGGGTGAGTTACTAGGGCAGAGAATATGAAGAGGAGGATATAAGAGGAAAGAAATAAGGAAGGAAAGCTTTCTATTTTATTGATTTCAAGGGATAACAATTTGTTATTTATAGAGCTGGAAGGAGGCATTCAGGCATCAGCTCTTTGTATTATAGCACCGTGACTATGCCAAGGATGTTATTTTAACCAAGGATCAGGAAGAAAACTTTTAACTGCTGTTAATAAAACATGTGTGAGGTCTGTTTGTGCACATCTTAAAAAATTCACCTAGGCCAATTGTTCTCAAACTTTAATTTGCATATATATCAATGCAAGTCTGTTTAAAATTCAGATTCTCAGGCTCCTTCTTAAGATTCTGATTCACTCCTAGGGTGGGCTCCAGAAGCTGCATTTTAGACTAGCATCCATGAGATTCAGATGTGGGTGGTTGGCACATTCCTCCTCCGAGTCCTGCTAGAACTTTGGAACATCTGAAAAACAGGACAGTTACTCTTAACAAAATACAAATAATTACTAGAAAATAATATCCATTTAAGGCTTGGTACCACCTCCCACTTACTATGAAATCCCTGTTGTTGTGATTGCTTGTGTAACTTTGACGGTGTCCTGTTTGAGGCGTCTTGCTGTTCCTGTTGTTTCGAGTGGTGAAGTCTGTCTTTGTTGCTTAGAAACAGAAATCAATTATGATTAACATAAGCAAAAAAGAAATCTGTTCAAAATCTTTTCCAAGCTCATAGAATTGTTAGGAGTCTGGAGGACCAATCTTGGAAAAGGAGCGGGACTCAAGGAGCTGCGGGTGGAGCTGGGGGGCCTGGCAGGAAGAACCAGCTGTGGGGTTGCCATGCAGGAGGAGATTGGGCCGTGCCTACTGCTATTGCATGTGCCGCTAAGAGCGACACTGAGAACATCCCTGGCTCACTTGCTCAAGAGTTCAAGTTCGGGAGAGAGTGTTTACAATTTGCTCTGCCCCCCTTTCCTGGCTGGGGATAAAGACAGGAGAGAAATCTTAAAAGCAGATTTCTTAGACTGTTGTGAATCCTTACATCAGCTGCCAGAGAGTTCCTGATCTCTGCAGTTTTATTTCGTGTAGTGATGCTGGTGAGAAAGCATAGGTATCAACTATGTGATTTATTATTCTCACTGACTAGTACAGAGTCAGTGGAAAAAAGCAAAAGGTCATCTGTGTCCAGAAACTCAACTTTTAATATTCTTCATGAAATCAATCAAAACATAATATTTCTCCTGTTTTAATATATATATTCATGCAAACTTTTTTCATTTTACCCCATATTATATCTATATTGTTTTAATATGAATATAATGCTTACAATCACTTACTTTCAAAACAAATGAATACATCACTAGAATGAGACATTTATTCTATTATTTCATACACTTCTTTGGATAGTCGTGAATATACTTATCCTAGTTCTAGAAGCATGGTCTTATGGTATCCACTAAAATGTATGCTACTTTTTTTTTTTTTTGCTGTTTGTTCATTATATATGAATGAACTAGTCAACTTATGGAAGAGGGGATTTAGATAACTCATTACTCATTTCTTAAACCAAAAAACTTTTAATTTTAAGCTTGGTTAAAAATTTCTTTCGAAATATTTTCTTGACTTAGACAATACGGGATGCCTGAAATAATTGAATATTTTTTGGTTGATTAAAAACTGGAAGTTGCTTAAGATCCCTGTTTGACTTTATTCGGGAAGGTAAGCACTCTCTAAGGACTTTCTGGATGATTTTCAAAGGATATTGCAGACATCAGTACATTTCTCCCTAAATACTTTAGCATGGGTATCATTATATAGTTCAATATTTTTTTATAGTTTTTTCTCTAGGATAAAATGTGCATGTAATAAAATGCATAAAACAGTTATATTTTCGGAGTTTGACAAATGCATACACCTATGTAAACCTAAGTAAACACCCATATCTATATCAAGATATAGACCGTTAGCATTACTCCAGAAAGTTTCCTTGGGTCTATTCCCTCTCAACCCCAGCCCCACTCCCCACCCAAGAGTCGGTCATTGTTGCGATTTTTAAAAAATTATGAATTAGCTTTGCCTGTTCTAGACCTCCATGTAAATGGAATCATATCTTATGTACTCTTTTGGATAAGGCTCCTTCACTCAGCATGATGTTTCTGAAATTCGTCTGTGGTGTTGTGGGTGTCGGTAATTTGTTCCTTTATATTTCTGCATAGTTTCCGTTCTATGGATACACCGCAGTTTACTTATTAATTCTCCTTTATGTGAACACTAGGGCTGTATCCAGTCTTTGGCTATTGTCAATAAAGCTGTAATGAACATTTGTGTACAAGTCTTTTTGTAGGCATATCTTTTCATTTCTTTTGAATAAATACCAATAAATAGAATTTCTGGGTCATAGGGTAGGTATGTGTTTGTGTTTAGTTCTATAGGAAACCAACAGATCTTTTTCAAAAGAGGTTGTACCACTTTACACCCCCAAACAACAATACAAGGGAGTTCTGGGTGCTCTACTGTTCTGTCCAAATTTTGTGTTGTCAATCTTTTTGATTTTAGCACTTATGTTGGATGTGTAAATATACAATTTTTTTTTCTTTTGAGGAAGATTAGCCCTGAGCTAACTGCTGCCAATCCCGCTCTTTTTTTTGCTGAGGAAGACTGGCCCTGAGCTAACCTCCGTGCCTATCTTCCTCTACTTTATATGTGGGACGCCTGCCACAGCCTGGCTTGCCAAGCGGTGCCGTGTCCACACCCGGGATCCGAACAGGCGAACCCTGGGCCGCTGAAGTGGAATGTGCGAACTTAACCACTGCGTCACCAGGCTGGCCCCTAGAATATACATTTTTTAAAAAGATTTTTGTTCCTAGGTATTCCAGCACCTACTTGCATAGACAACCTTGGTATGCCTAGATCACTTGACTCTTGAACGCCTTGTGCTTTAAAAGGTAGGAATATAATCCAATTGGCACTCCCAAAGTGAATTCCTGATTGTCTTCTCTTTAGGACAGCCTGAGTCAACAGGCGAAGGATGTTAATTACTTTGTATAACTTCTGTGGCTCCTGATGAGACAGGCGGATGAAAGGCTCTTCTTCTAATCTGACAGAGAAAGCTCCAGTATCTTGGGGGACCTCTAGACAGTTGGCAGGGATGCACCTGTACTACCCTACTGATGGCACGCTTGGAATGCAGACTTGGGCACTGAGAAATAGTAGCCTTTGATGTTCATCTTTGGCTAGGATTTCTTTCTTCCTGGATCTCAAGAGGATGAGAGGAACATTAAGGGTAGCTTATGTTGTAGCCATACTTCAAAAGTGTGTAGATCTCTACAAAGGCTAATTCATTGTGATAGAAAGGAATCTACTCTAGCTTGATCTCATGAACTAAGAAATCAATCCTTATTAGACCAATAGATTATGGTCTACTCTTAGAAAACGTAGCTTTTGGGTTCTTTGGGAAGCAATGCTGAGAGAGTTAGGACTGTAAGGGGTTTACATTACTCAGTTAGGGCTGCCATAACAAAATACCATGGACTAGATGGCTTAAACAACAGAAATTTATTTTCTCCAGTTCTGGAGGCTGTAAGTCCAAGATCAAGGTGCCAGCATGTTTGGTTTCTCCTGAGGCCTCTCTCTTTGGCTTGCAGATGGCTAGCTTCTCACTTGTCCTGACATGGCCTTTTCTCTGTGCACACACAACCCTGGTGTCTCATCCTCTTTTGATAAGGACAGCGGTTATATAGCATTGGGGCCCTACTCTTAGGACTCTATTTAGCCTTAATTGCCTCCTTTAAAGGTCCTATCTCCAAATACAATCACATTGAGCATGAAGGCTTCAGCATATGAATTTTGAGGAGACACAATTCATATTTCAGACCATAACACCCTGCCTTGACAGGTAACAACTCTGCAAGATAAAAGAGAAAGAAGCCTTCATTAGGCGAGGAAAGCTTTCAGACCATGGTGTCAGTCTGACACCTGTGAAAGGAAAAGAGGAAGGAAGCGGAAGTGGGTAGGGAGATCCTTAGGCAGTAATGCAGATCTTGATAAACTCACTGGGCAACTTTGGGAGCAAATGCTTGCCCATTAGGACCCTGTATTGGGAAGAAATGGCCAGATCCTAGTAACCCTGCTGTGCTCAGTCCTTGGCTGAGGGCTTTATGGGAAGAATGTAGCCTTTAGGTTGTGAAATATATCCATTTTGTAACCTGATGGTCACCTTGCATACACCTTGCACCTTGCATTACATATTCTATTTACCAGGTAGTCCTGATGGTCACCTTGCATACACCTTGCACCTTGCATTACATATTCTATTTACCAGGTAGTCCAATAAATGCTGGTGCATTTTACAAGGCGGCCAGACCAGGACATATGTCTTCTTTCTTTCCCTAGGAGAGTCACCCCTCTCCCACCAAATGAGGAGGGAAATGAATCACAATCTAATTGCTTTAACTCCTTTCTTTCCAGTAGATTGTCTAATACCTAAAATCTACTTTATATTATTACCTTAAATGTACAGAAAAGACAAATTTATGAGACAGAAAGTAAATCAATGGTTTCCTGGGACTGCGAGTGGGAACAGGGACTATTAGCTGTACATGGACATTATTGGGACATTGTTGGGAGAATGAAAATGTACTAACACTAATTTATGATGATGGTTGCACCATTTGATAAAGTTACTAAAAACATTGAATTGTAAACTTGAAATGAGTGAATTTCACTATTTGTAAAATGTAAAGTTGTTAACAAAATTAATGCTGAAAGTAAAACTCTTGTTATAGAGACAGATAAAAAACAATCTTTCATATTTGGGAGAAAAAAACATACCTGAAGAACATGTTTAGTTAGTGAAATTCAATATGTCAATCTTGCAAATCACAAACTTTATCTTAAACAGTTTTCTTAGGATAATTTAGTCCAATTTTGTTATTATATACTCTATAGTTTTATAGTATGAATAATTTTCTCTAGTTAATTGAAAAAATGTTATATAAAATTGAAACTACATTAAATGAAAACTGCCCTTCTTACCCCTAATAAACAATGATTAAGATATGGTAATTTACTAAACATGAAAGTAGGTCATTTTGGGAAAAACTGTAATATGTATAAGTAGCATCCAAAATTCAAATGTATAGCAATGAAAGATGTTTGATATGTCACTGTGTACAATGGATTGAAGAAATGGCGTGGGCGTATTCCAAATGCAGTACACAGGGCACATATTTGAATCCTATACTTCGAGGTTGCTCTGAGTTGTTGATCATAAATTGAATTGGTTAAGTAATTAAATTGTGAGTTTTTGAAGGTCAAAGACATTGTTTCCCTGGCATGTTTTACTTGTACTGTTCTGTATATATTTAATAATAGTGCATTACTGGGTCAAATTCTTAAAGTGATTCAATTATAGTAAATGATAAGATTTAACTAAGAGAGTCGTTAATCACTTTTAATCTATCTCTTGCAGGCATAGGATTCTTTTTAAGGCATAGACTTTGTAATGATTTAGTTTTAGCAATAGCGTACAAATATATTTAGTCTTAATAATTCATGAAGTACCAAAGTATCGAACAACTTTAATCAAATCCACAGTAAATTTATTGGCTGGAAAGATATAGCATAGATTCACATATTTTAATTTGAAACTGTAAAGTTTATG